ATTGAAATCTTATTAGTTTCTTTCTTATCATTAGTACTACATTTTGTTTAATCCTTTTTAGCTTTGACTTGTATTAGTATTTCTCACGTTTTATGTTTAATATTACATATCATAATCAATCTGTACTACTAATGAAGTAATAACGGTGTTATGTGTTAAGTTCTAAGTAGACATATTGATTTGGTTGATAAATTTGTGAAACTCTATTAGATGGTGTGGTTTTGTTTTACATGTATGATGTATCGCTAACCTCCTGCTGGTCGATACTGATCAATGTTGTGTACTATATGACCTACTGATTCATCTGAATACTTGAATATATTAGCCTATGTGTACCGTTGGTTTAGAGTCAGGGTTTTCCAAATCCCCTAGGTGGATCCCCCATATCCACTAACTGGATTGAAGCGCCGGAGGTTCGCTTTTAGTCCTCTCAATTTCGTAAACAACCCCCGGCTAACAGTAGGTAATGAGTAGGACTTCCCTGGCAGTAATTGACTGTATACGCGTGACCATGTGTGAGAGCATCACGAGAGGGAGAGCTGACTCTCCCCACCCTCGGCCGTATTTGAGGGCTTAGATGTGAATGTTATGCTCCAATTGTGTTTCAGTGAGTAAGCATTGAACATGTGTTGCATTAGTAATACCTAAAACTAGTTCTCAATGCTGAAATAGTTGAAATAGGATTAAATACCATTTCTAAATTCCATTCTTATTAAATATGGAAAATAATATCGATTCAAAGTGGAGAGAAAAACAAAGATTGTAGTTGCTATTCTATTACTACTACTGCAGATATCATCGTCTCAATAGTCTGAAGGTTAGGCTCTTTCTAGGGAGACCGTAGGTGCTACGTTCAATCTCTGATGAAGTCATTAACCTTCATTGCTGGAGAGTTCCGATACTAAGTCGAAACAGCTACCCAGTACTTCCTGGTTTTCAATAGTTACCTAATGTAATTCAGCCTATTATTAAAAACCATCGGAACGGTTAAGGGCTTACAATATATCTCTAAATATTATTCATCTAGAAATTATCTTTATTTATATCTTTAATATCACGCTTGAAAATTCTGTGCAAAAAGATGACGTTTAGCAATTCAAAATTGCTATATAAATGACCATATTTATATGCTGGAGAAGATGATTTTGGTGGATTTTTGTTTTGTTTGTGCACAAACATAGAAACAAAAACCAAACCAATGGGAGATACAACCAAAACAAAGAAATAAGCAATGATAGATTTAAGGTCAACGAGAACCAATCAACATCGAGGTGTAAAGGACAAGCTGTGAACTACATGTGGAGAAATCCGAACACTTCACTTCTATCTGAGTTTGTGTTGATGATATCGTTCAGAAAACGATGAAAGCTCCACGACCACACTATTCAGCACAGAGAACAAAACTCTATCAAAAAATGACCATATTAAATTATTTCTTATTTAAAATTATTTGACTGAATTTCATTCGTTTTACTTCTATTTTCTTTCATTTGGAGACTATTTGTTAAATTGAAGTGTCATTTTTTGTTCACTATAATTCATTAATTGATCGAGTAGTGGCAATGGTTATCAAAACATACTACTTTCAACTACTAAGTCTCATTGTCAGCAGTCACTTTTATTTTAATTTCGACTTCGATGCCTGTTACTCTCAATGGAGCATAGGCCGTCGATTAGCATTCTTCAACCCACTCTGTACTGAGCCTTCCTTTCTAGTTCTATCCAACTTTTGTTCATTCTTCTCATGTTTGTCTGTCTCCATTTCTGGACACAATTTGTTCTTTGGACTTCCTCTTCTCCTTTGGCCTTCAAGATTCCATGTGAGGGATTGCCTAGTGACGCAGTTGGGTGCTTTCCGCGATGTGTGTCCTATCCACTTCCATCGCCTCTTCCTGATTTCTTCCTTCACTGGAATCTGGTTTGTTCTCTCCCACAGTAGTTTGTTGCTGATAGTGTCTGGCCAACAGATCCGAAGTATTTTGCATAGACAAACTGTTAATAAACACTTATATCTTCTAGATGATGGCTTTCGTAATTCCTTAGGTTTCCACCCTATACAGTAGAACTATCTTGACATTTGTATTGAAAATTCTGACCATGGTGTTGATTTTATAGTTTTCAATAAATCATTCATTAAAAGATATGATTATCATTTGTAGATCATATTTCAAATATCTTGAGTTTTAACTCTATAAATTTCTTAGTGATAAATTATTATCTAAGTTGATATTACATCATACTTTTTTGATGAAAAGAAAATCTCTTTTTCAGACTGCAATCATTATTGCCTAATCCATATGTAATTTTTACTATTCATAAGTTCATATTTGAACTAATAATCTAGAAATCGTTTTTTACGTGTTGTTGTTGTTGTTACTATGTGTGTTCTAGAGAGGTTGATTGTAGTAGAGAATTCTTTTCTCACTGTAACTGTGAAGTAACAGTGTAGTGAACAGAACACGGGTGGGGACAATCGAATGTATTTGACACAAAATTTACAGGACTTGTTAATAAAATCTAACAATCATAGAGTAAATGCTTAATTTGTAAAATGTCCATCGATTGTCTCATAATGACTCAGACTTCATTGTTCCTGCATTTTCATACAAATTTGCATTCTGTTTCCATTCTTTACGGTTCAATCCTCTTGTCTCTCTGCTGCCAGACATTCTGTTCACGACTAACATCATATACTACTTATGTCAATATAAGTAGCACACACCGCAGCAGTAGTAGTAGTAGTTCAAAATTCCAGTCATAAATTTATGTATGTTTATATAGTTGTTTCTTTCAGAAACATATATAATACGTAGTACTGTAGAGTATTTATTGGTTATTGAATATAAACTCTCTCTTGCACTCATGTATGTGTGTGTGTATAAACCCTATTCATTTCAATGATTTAAATGTTTTTCTCGTTTCTTATAAATAGGATAGCCACATAAATTGTGACAATCACTTTTTTTCTTATAAGGATACTTTCGTTGATTTTTTTTGGTCGAATAAAATGAATGATTTTTTATTGAGATCATGAATCACCAGCTGAGGAGTCCCAAAATGGGACGAAACAGCCCATTCAGTGCTTCCAGGTTTTCAATGATGGTCTAACATGAATCGGTTCATAATCTCAATCAAAAACTTAATAATCTCCACAACCTCAATATTGAAAATGAATGGTACTTCTTCTTAGTTGTTTATCGATTTCAAGTGTAAAACTAATCATTGTTGAATTACATAATCAACTTATATTATGGACATAAATTTTATCATTAGTACTCTAGAAAAACCTAGTTAGATATAACATATAAATGATCATTAAGTTATACATTAGATTTACTAGGATTATGTTACATAATAGAAGGATTCACTACTTCCCCTAACAATTTGATGTTGGTTTAAATGTGAATATACTGACTATTATATCATCTACTAAAGAGCGGTGTTAAATCTATCGAAACGTCTCATTATGCGATTAAGGTATGCGCAAAACCAAAGCTCATATAACGGCGATTTATCTAAAAAGCCGTTCTTGATTGAACGATAGATATAAATTAGTTACAAACTTTAACTCATAAAGTATCTGTGGCGCTTAGTGCATCTGTAAGTCTGGAAGAAAAATGGATTCCTGAAATAATAACATCAAGAATAATTATGACAGCTGATAGCTATATCTAATCTTGATAACAGTTTATCAATAAGCAAAAACTGAACCAATAGCAAACATATATGTGAACCGTTGCGTTTAAACAAAGAATATTTGACCATACAAATCTTAGAATGACTGCTACGTGAGTTGAGATAAATACAATCATTGTTTATTAGCGTATGTAAATATTTTAGAATACTACACGACATTCGCGCACAAATTGCTAGGAACACAACGATTTACTGAATACTAGTAAGTAGTATAAAACAGTACACACAAAAAGAGTTGACGAGAAAAGAATAAGGGCAGAGAACGTTAAAAAATTTAATAGATGTAATGCCGCTTTCCGTGTATTTCAAGATTTTTATGATTTAATATTTCACAGTTTAATTGCTAAATAACTGTTGTTCTAAAGTGGTCAGAAACTAATCTGCCCTGATACGGCTGAGAGTGGGGAGAGTCAGCTCTCCCTCTCGAAATGCTCTCACATGGCCACGTGTATTCAACCACTGTCAGGGAAGTCCTACTCACTGCCTTCTCACACCAGAGGATTTTGTTTACGAAATTGAGAGGACAGAAGCGAATTTCCGTTGCTTTAAACGATTTGGTGGACACGGAGAATCCACCTAGGGGAGTTGGAATACCTTGATTCCAAACCAATGGTGCACATGAGTTGACTTCAGTATCAGTTGATCACCGACTACCACGGGACTGCATCTCTTGACACTGCCTTGTGGATCATACCTTTAGGTTGAAGGCTCCGAGTGTGGTCCCCTAAGGACACCACTTGCTTTTGCGTGAACACCCGGGTAGTATCTCAGCCCTCACACAAATCGAATGATTTGTATGGTGCATATCTATTGGATGCCTCCTTGTACCAACGTTTACGTTTTTAAATAAAATAATATAATTATAAGACTAATCATCACTTAATAATTTTTCACTTAAATTAAATGTTATTTCACATGTGATTATATTATTTTGCGATGATGGAGAGTGGACACAGGGAACATCTGTCTTACAACGGTTGATTAGAAATTGTTCTGCAGTTAAAAATCTTTTTCTCTACCGGTATGATGCATACATAACTGGAATCTCGTTTCTGTTTATCAAAAGATAATTCGGATAAATATTTCTTTAAACTTTTCTATTGATTGGCGTTCTATCTTCTGATAATAACTTATCATTATTAGTTTAGGTTAACTCATTCATTAAATACTTAAGTATCAACTAAAATGTTACTACCCGTCTGTGTGTATACTAAAACAGTTGAGTTAGAGTTGAGTTTAAACCTTATGCTTAGTGGGTTAAATTGTACTCCCTCATTATTTTTTTTTGTTCTTCATGTTTAAAGGTATTTATCTTTCTGATTTAACTTTTATTGATGTGGCTGCATCATCATCGTATAGTCGTCGTGAAAATAGTAGATGACTAATCAAGGTAAACAAGATCGAATTAATAATATCTTACGGATTATTGCAAATTTTCAACAATCCAACTATCGTAAGTGATGAAATATATTTGAATTTATATAGTTTTAATACGAGTAGTAATAGTAGTAGTGTTGGTATCGTTATTCCTTAAACTATTCGGTTTTGGAAATAAAGCAAGAACGATTTTTATTATGTTCTTACGATCAAACGCCCTTGCTACCGTCGAGAGTGGGGAGAGTCAGCTCTTCCTCTCGAAATGCTCTTGCATGGCCACGTGCATACAACCACTGCCAAGGAAGTCCTATTCACTGCCTTCTCACACCAGAGGATGTTGTTTATGAAATTGTTAGGACGAATAGCGAATGTCCGTCGCTTTAAACGGGTTGGTGGACACGGATTCCATGGGACTGCATCTCCTGACGTTGCTCCACTGCCTTGTGGATCAGACCTTTAGGTCAAAGGCTCAGGGTGTGAAGCCGATATGAAAAGGATGAATAACAACTGGAAAGGATTGCCTAGGACAGGGTTGGATGGAGAATGCTAGTGAGAGGCCTATGCTTCTTTACGAGGAGTAACAGGCGTAAGTAAGTAAGTGTAAGGAAAAGGTCAAAAAATGAATAAATAGCCAGTAATCATCCAGTTGCAACGTAGAATCTGATACGTTTATACATCGGGTCAAGTCTCCATACCCTATTAGAACAGAGAAATGAAATTGTGAGGACAAATCTCAGGATAGTGAAGTTAGTTATTGTATTAGTGGTAATAGAAAAGAATAGACATCGAAAGGTTCAATTCAAGAAAATATATATTGGTGTAATAAATACAAAAAATAATGAGGAATTCAGAAGTTTCAAGATTTAAGGGAAGATATAGAATGAATACACCAATTTTGAGACGTTCCACTTAACGTTCCTAACTATTGGTTACAATAATCACGCGGACGCTACCTAGATTGTTTATAGCTATTATCATGGGTCAGTCCAATTGTCAGTAACTCATGGATTGATGCCATGTTTTAGTTTGGCTGCCACTAACCTTCTTCCAACCTACTCCTACACCAGACATCTCCCGTCGAGGTAGGCGGTTGTTGGGCATACGTATTAAAAGAGACATTTCGATTGAAAGTGTTAAAGAATTCATCTTAGTTTTACGAGAAATATGATCACCATTAACTTCCGTTCTGACCCATGTTTATTAACCAGTTAATACACTGAGTTGTATCCTTTCTAAAACCTCAACTTGGGGATTTATGATCTTAGTCCTACACAGTTATTTTTCATACCAAGATGTTATCTCATAAAAAGACTACCTATCTGCTTCTTTCACTCAGTTCTAGTGTTGGCAAATTACGGTCCATATGAGAACTGCTCAGATGGAATTTTAAAACCCGTTCAAAAAAGTACTGGTTAATTATATGTCAGTTTCACATTAAATTATCATTTTAAAAAAATACTGTCTTCCTTTCTTTTTTATATTATATTTCAATTTCATCAGCTTTTGTTCGAAATGAATCCATAGCCAGTTATTTGGAAGCACAACGTTACATAGAAGAACTTCAACGATTTATTGAAGATGCAAATTATAAATTATCTATTCAATTAGAACCTCCACCTATATCATCTCCACCAGATCTATCACGTCAAAATACTGTCCCACCGAATTATTCATTTCTAAGTAATAATGATAATATATTAAAACCTGTGCCAATTTATAATTGTACAACAAACATTACTTCCAATTGTGATACAATAACAACAACTAACTACTACATTGTCTTCCATTAAAACGACCACATTATCATTATCTTGTAAAACTATAAATAACAAAACAACGGGAACAATGCATACTAACAAAGGTAATCCATCTAATTCAACAGTGAATCAACTTGAAAAACAAATCAAATCCAATTCAATATTATACGATTTACTTGAACCACCAATTATACCTCCACCACCTCGTGTTAAACAAACATATTCTCAAGAAGATATTTCAATGCCATCAAGTATTCATTGTTTAACATCAAACCATTCTGTGGTGAATTCAATTCAACGGCCTCGAAAACGACCAACTCATCGAAAACTAGGCAGCTGGGGAGGTAAGCGTTGATTGGTTTAAATTCTTTACTCCATCAAATTCCTTATGAATCATGATTAAAATTCTTTGTGACACGATTATTTATTTATTTAAACATATAGACATTGGTACAAGATGGCATCAAATAGATATGCGCCACATAAATCATTCGATTTGTGTAAGGGCTAGGATACTGCCCGGGTGCCCAAACAGAAGCAGGTGGTTTACTTAGGGAGTCACACCCTGAGCCTTCGACCTAAAGATCTGATCCACAACGCAGTAGAACAACGTCAGGAGATACAGTCCCATGGTATCCGATGATCAACAACAAGTCCACACTCCATTTGTTCCTTTGGGATCCTGGAGCCAGCCCATGGGCATCATTGGTTTAAAATCACTGTTTTCTAACTCCCCTAGGTGGATCTTCCATTTCCACCAACCCGTTTAAAGAACCGGACATTCGCTTCTCGTGTTGTCGATTTCGTAAACAACAGCAATGCCGCGAGAAGGCAGTGAGTAGGACTTACCTGACAATGGTTGTATGCATGTGGTCATGTGAGAGCATTTGGAGATGAAGAGTTGACCCTCCTCACTCTTGGCCGTACCAGTTTCTTGATATGACATATAGATTTAAGTATTTTTCCTTCTTCGGTATACTACTCTAAAATCCCTATACAATAATGAAATTAGTCTGGGTGATAGAGTTTATAACACCGTTAGGTTGATTACGCAAATTATCCGCTATATACAAACCGAAACACGTTATATCACATACCCGGTTCGCGATCAAAACTATAGAACCAGAGTAAATCCAAACAATACCATATTCCACAAAGTTACATACAGTCACTCTCAATGAGTCCAAAGTAGAAGTCATTAAGAGGTAAGGAAGCCACATATTTAATAATAATTAAGCTGAATACCTGATTTTTCTTCTAAAACTCAGTGACCAATCACATTGATCGACCCACTTTTTCCATAGAACATTTAGTTCAATGAATTGTGATTACATTATAGTATGCCTATAAGCATTTATTCTTCCAAATTCAATATAAAAAAATTCATTAAAAGTTGATCATCAAAGAATATACTTCTTCTTTATTTGACTAATCAAAACAGTTTTTTTTTAAAAAAAAAAATGCTTTTTACCTAACTAGGTGGAACGGAAATGACTCTTTTAGAGCTTAACGGTTATTGGTGAACTGAAATGTCCTCTTTCTTTGTTTTGAAGGAGGCTTTGATGATCCTTGGTCCATGTGATTCCCATCCTATAAGTGTATTTTGTGCTTGTTTGGACAGCATCAATGCAACTCCTTGTGTATATGAGGCACTTTCTTCTTCATGACCGGAGTATAACAGAAGCTCCCTTGAAGTTAGTCGTTGTTGTCCAACCTGCGTCTAATGTGTTTCTTTAATTCCAAGCACCTCCAGGTTTTATCTCTTCATTTCTGCAGCAATTTGGTAGACTCTCCCGGTGTCCCACATTGTACGAGCATTCCATGTACCTAAATTAATGGTTGCTGTGGTTGTCAGCAGCGGCGTCAGCCTCGTGACTTCCGAAGGAACTTGGGTTTCACCATGAGGCGTGATAACTCTTCTAAATGAAGACTTGCTTACTCCCAGATCAGAGTTTAAGTGGTTTGAATTGTTTTTTCTGGTTATCGTTTTAGTCTTCTACGGGATGGGGTCTCTAACCCTATGCCCAACCCTCCTTTATCCGGTCTTGGGACCAGCAGTAGCCTCAGAGAGGCTCCAGACGGAGTTAATATCATTTTAAATGTATGGGATCATTGTTACTTGGTTCATGTGTTAGGGTTTAGGTTAAACTTATATAATGTGATTACTAGTCATCTCGTGTGATGTCGACTGTTTAAAAGTGGTGTCAGAGCCCTACATCATTGTACAATTGCTTAATATATTATAACACTCAGTAGGCATTGTTTTTAGAAGAAACTAAGGGATTTTCAATAGAATAAATTTTTTATTTCATTTGAAAACCAAAACATAGTCAGAAACTTCAAATAGGCACCTTTGGGGAGTATCTTTATGCTTTCTATTTCTTACAATCTCATTCAGCTGAATATCTTTGAACATCTGTCTACTGAAATTCAATCCTGAAGATTTTGTTCTTCAGTTGAACTTAATTCCATACTAACACTACCAATGTCTAGGTTAATCGTTTTTGAATCTTCAAACAGACAGACAATAAGACGTGATTATTTTACACAGTGTTCACTTGAGATTCTATGAATATTGAAGTTTTGTAGCATTTATGTTTATGGGTATCAAAGACATAGCATACATCTACAATACAAGATTTTAAAGTATTTATTGATGAAATGAGTTGTATAGTTTTAAAAACAGCATTTACTTACTAAAGATCTTCTTCTTGTAATTTGAAGCCATGTTTGAAGAAACCAACAATCATTACTTTACGGTTTTTAAAGAGAGAAAAAAAATGTTTCCCTAAGCTCTCCATTTACTTATGTATTACTGTATATAGTTCAGCTTATTATGTATGAAACTCATCAAATTGGCTATATATATATATTCATTTGTTTATTTTCATAAAGGATTCGGACTGTTATTCTGTGATAATGATACAACACCGACTATTGATAAAGTAAGTTTTTTTTCCTTGTTTATGTTTAAATAACGATATACCTCTTTCATTTCTGTTTGTTCATCAACTCCTTACAACCTATGCTAAATGATTATTCAAAGTGAATAAAGCGATCTGAAGGCTACATATATGTAATTTAGTTTAGAACTGTACTCATTTGTAACTTGTTAATAAGTTGATCTCGAGTTCTATTAGAATTATTTGAATGATCTTCACTTCCTTATTGTTCATATCTTAGAATAATACTTCTTGAAGTATTTAAATAAGAAATTGATCTGAGATCGGGATTTCAGTGCTCATAGAACAGTTGTTTTGTGCGTAGCTTTTAATGTCTCAGTTTCATAAAGCTTTACTCCTGACAATAGAAATCTGAGAGTTATCCCAGTATTGTTCAATGTTGGCATTATGAATCTGTAAGCCTAACCATTATATTAAAGTCGCGGTTATGGTTAGAACCAATAGTTGACCGGTGTTGGAATAACTTTTTCAGTAACCGAGGACTACTTAGTAGTCCCCATATTTTGTTCAATCGTTTTGTGTTTATCTATCCATATAAATTCCAATGACTGAAAATTCCATCTATGTTGCATAATAGTAATTATTATTATTATGATCTGAGTATATATATATATATATATATATATATATATATATATATATATATATATATATATATATATTTTGAGGGATAATTAAGGGTATGACAACTAGAATTTATGTACGTACGTACGAAGTTCTACGTTGTTACTGACTGACTTATAGATTATCTTTAACAAACAATACTTTTACACAACATTAGCATATTGAAATAAGATTTGCAAGATAAATACTAGAGTAGTAGGGATAGTATTGGGATATTTAGGAAAATATCCCAAAAATTATCCTGTTAAGCCTAATGCTATCCTTGGACATGAAATGCTATCATCTTATTGGTCAATAGTTATTTCACGTGTCATTTTCCTACTGGTCAATATTGTACAATGTTATTTTCTATTTTCATGGTACGTTGTGGTCCGCTTGACTGGTATATAAACAAAGTATTTTGAAATATAATGATTCATATATCAGAGGCTATGACTTATGTTCTAGACTCAACTGACTGGGCTAGACAGGGAAGCGAGACCAATCAGAACCCTAGGTCGTTCTACGTGTTTGCGCGTCTTTGGTCCGATCAATAATTCGCTACCCTTAATCCTCATATTTTCACATACTAACAGATAGTAACAGTGTGAGTGATAGTGGTAAACGCTAAACATAAATAAAACGTTTTTATAAGAAAAGATGGGTAGTAGCTAGCAGTGGAATCCAAGACGCGCGTTTCTTCCAATTTGGGACTCGTCAGCTGGATGTACATCTCAGAATTGTTGTTCACTCTGGGACTCAAACCCAGTACCATTCGCTTCAAACGTCATCGCGTTATCCACTCAGCTACTGAGTCCTGACAGCCACTTACTTGTGCAATGGGGTGAATTTAAATTCACTTGGTACTGAGTTCTGATAGACTGATCAATTGCAGTCTTAAACCTCAATGGGAAGATACAAGCGAAACAATACCAAGTGAATTAAAAATAAAACACTTCGAAAAAGGGAGGAATTCACTGGAAAAAATACAAAATAATTTTAAAACTCAAGATTAAATACATTTGGAGCGATCTGATCAGCTCTGATATATATCAGCCATCATTTCCAACCATTGGTTACAATAATCGCGCGGACCCCAACCAATTAGCCCTCACTTATTAACATGGCTGCGACCGCCACTCAATGACTTCATGAACTGATTGTGTGTCGTGATTTGGGCAATCTAGTTTTTTACCTACCTACTACTACACTTACACTAGGATTATTATTATTATTATTACTATTATTAGCTTTACTCAATATTATATTTTCGGTATTTCAATAAGTTTCCATTTTTTACTTCTTGGTCGATCCTGACGATAAATATTGAGTGGTCGCCAATTCGAAGTTAAGTAGTTCAATCAATCGACATCTAAAAAATGTAAATCCTTTTTGTTGCATATTGCCAGCAACCACGATATCTCTGATTGGGCCTTTTGTAACTTGTACAAAGAAAGGTTGTACAGTTTTCAGAAACGCGCTTGAATAGGTTATGCAATTAATAACCATAATGATGTAATAAAACAAACAAAATTAGATAAATTGTTAAAATATGTAGATGACAGGAACAGGTAGCCCAGATATTCAAGCAGGCCGATGCATCGAAGTAGAAGGTAGTTAGTTATATTATAAAACTTGTCCCAATCACCTTATAGAAGGTTTCTGTAATCTTTTTAATCGAAGAAAATAATACATATAACAGATAGGCGCCAAAATAGTTATTTCACATTATCATTACGTGATTTTCGGTTTTGTGTTGATCTCATAGATCCATTGCTAACTTCTATTTAATTTTTATATGTTTCCTTAGTTAAAGTCAATTATTTTCCACTATGGAATTATGTGATGATTTCTTTTTTATTTAATCTTCTTTATAGAATGAAAATAAACAAAATTTATCTACTTCAACTACTACTACTAATACTGGTAGCAGTAGTCATCTTTTATCTCGGTCACCACGTTTTAATAGGAATATGAAAGTATCTGTTAATAATGTGTAAGTCGCTAATATATATATATATATATATATATATATATATATATATATAATTCGCCTGCCAGGGAAGTCCTATTCACTGCCTTCGCGTGGCGGGGGTGTTGTTTACGAAATTGAGAGGACGAAAAGCGAATGTCCGGTGATTTAACCGTGCTGAGGGATACGCAGGATCCATTCAAGGGAGTTGAGAAACCCTGATTCCAAACCATTGGTGCACATGGGTTGGCTGCAGGATCCTAAGGGAACAAATGGCGTATGAACCAATCGTTGGTCACCGGCTACCATGGGACTGCATCTCCTGACGTTGTTCCACTGCCTTGTGGATTAGACCTTTAGGTGGAAGGCTCCGGGTGTGGCCCCCTAAGAAAACCAGCTACTTCGGTTTGGACACCCGAGCAATACCACAGCTCTCATACATATCAAATGAGATTTGTATGGCAAATATGTATCTGGTGCCCCTTTGTACCCATATCTGTGTTCAAATAAATTATATATATATATATTGAACGGAAATAAATTAACTCCTAGCGGAAGATAAAGAGCCCATACGTCTGAAACATTGTAACCAATTTTCAGTCATGTCCCTCAGTATCCCCAACTACTGGTTGCATGGATCTTAACTAGGTACACCATATCTACTATCATAGCTCGGTCCAACACTCAGTGTTCTCATGGTCTAGTGCCACTTTTTATTCTGGCACCTCTTAATCACCTTCCAATCTGCTACTATTCCAACCAAAATTGCCTGTCGTGATATATGACAGTTGAGCATGTTGAGGCTAATTTCCTTTATAACTGACTCCAATAAATGATATCTCGTTAACTGAGTATTTTAGGTAGGCTAAATCTCCTAGTAGAATTGTGGATTTACTCGAGGTTATTCAGAAGCTTGAACACCAGTTGTAGAGATATTTTTATTGTTCAAGATAAATAAAATCCACAACCGTACAGCGAGCAAGCACACTGTGAAACCACGAGTGTGTGTGTGTGTTAAAAATCCATATATATTTTTGAATGTCAATCAAGTGTGGATAAATTATTGATTATCTGTATGTTACAACGAATAGGAGAATTATTATTATTATCGTCAGCTTTATTCAATATCATATTTTTGGTACAATATAGAATTCTCAGCGCAAAGTATTTCAACAAGTTTCCGTTTCATTCTTCTTGGTCGGTCCTGGCGATAGATATTGAGTGATCGCCAGTTAGATGTTAGCAGTCCAGTAAATGAACATCTGAATAATGTGCATTCTTTTCGTTGTATATTGGCAGCAACCACATTGTCTCTTATTGAACTTTTTGTAACTTTGATAACGAAAGGTTGTATACTTTTCAGAAATGCACTAGGATGGGTTATGCGATTAATATACATAATGATATATTAAAACAAACAAAAATAGATAACTTGTTGAAATATTTAGATGACAGGAACAGGTAGCCCAGATGCTCAAGCAGGCCGCCAATTAAGGTTGTGTGCAAACACGCGCTCAATCATGCACACACAGAAATTAACATAGTGAAGTGTCTGAATTACAGTGAGTAGACAAATGATACAATAGTTGAATGGGCTTGCTACAAGCACACTTATCGTATGCCTGCACCACTTCATTTGATGAAAATTCACAATCAGTGTTGACTATTACGCTTCGTCTAACTTCAATATTGCTCACTTAGTTGTCCCAACATATGTCCCAGCGATGCCTCGAAAACAAATATGATCAAGAACCAGCAGTTTACGCATGTCTACTATTTTTATGAGGTCACGTTTCAATACCTGTAGGGTAATAAAAAGTGGAGTGCTGGTCATTATACTTTCCCTTTCGTTGGAAGATAGAAATCTTTTTTTCGTCACGCTTGATAATCAGGATTTCACGTATCTTCCTTTCAACCCTGCTATTCTTTCTATGAGCCGTAATTTTTCATTTCTTCAATAGTCTCTTACTGATATATATATATATATATATATATAATTTTACTGCAATATTTTAATATCACATGTCACCACGAATAACTCAGTGTTAACATCTCAGACTGTGAAGCTGGGTAATGCATGTTTGAATTTCATAGGAGCGTCAGTTCTTTTAAGACAGTAGATATGCCTTCCAGACCAGTTCCAACTATCACAAAACCTAGATCCACGTCTTATTCTGAACTATCTTCAACCACTTAAAACCTCCATAACCCCACCCCTACACTACATTTACGAGTCTATCTCTTAACCATATATATAATCCATTTGAAGAGCTTAGTTAGTGGTCAGCATTTTTTTAGCGAGTTAGTTTTCTACGGGATGTGGTCGCTAACCCCATGCCCAACCCTCCTCCTTTATCCCGGGCTTGGGAACGACAGTAGCCTCAGAGGGGCTCCGGGAGGATTTATACGTTTATTTGTCTAACTTATTTATTTATTGTACAGTTACCTTTGTACTTATTGTGTTTTTTTCGCTTGTCTATATTTATTACTTGTCACAACCCTATCCTGTAGTGAATCTCCGAAAAATTCCTTATCCAATCAGAACCATGGATTCATCAACAAATCTTCACCTACAATACTCAAAAAATATATGAATACTAATAATAATGATAATAATATTAATACCAATATCAAAACTTCTAAACAACGCAATGGTGATATCAATTTAATGTTTGATCATTCATCGTCTAATTCGTCGACATCTTCACCTCACCTTCTTGTATTCACTGATTGTTTAAACAATCCAGATAATAATAATAATAAACAATCAATAAAAAAAGAAAAATGATTTCTGGCAATTCAGCACCTATTTATTCATCATCATCATTATCATCACCTTCATCATCGCATAATTCTGTCATTGAATTACAATGTATTATGGAATCAAAATCAAATAATTCACAAAATCAATCATCTATATTCCTTCATGATATATTCAATGCAAAAACTGCTCCTGTTACACCATGTCGTAGAATAAAACAACATCAACACAACTATACTACTAAAATATCCGATACAGGAATATCAAATTATGAACAGAAAAAGTGTACAAATATCACTACTACTACTACTACTACTGACAATGATAATAATAATAATAGTACTAGTAGTAAGCATAAATCTTCTACAATGCTTGTTACTAATACATCATTTAAAGATTTAAATAGCGGACATTATCAAAGAAAGAAAAATCTATCCTATTGTAATGCATCTACTGAACGTAAATTAACTACAAGACTTTAGATTAAATTGAGTTGTTGTTTTACTTTCTATTCATTTTTCAACTATGTTGACATATACAACTTAATTAGGAAAGAGATAGGTAGAGAGAGTGTGAAAGAATTAGATTAAATCCTATGTTTATGCCCCCCCCCTTCAGTTTTCTTTTTGTCTATGTATTTAAGGTGTTTTTTTTTAGACTTTGTACATACCGAAGCATTTATATGGCCTAATATTATTACATGTACATAGTAAGTAAAAGAATTCAATGATACATTTACACCGTGTGAGTGTGAGTGTGTGTGTGGGTGGGTGGATGGGGGGATATTAGCTACCACTATTGTTGTTATGCAAGACTCATTTCATTTGTTCATCACAGCTACATATGATTTGTTAGTTTTGTTTCCACATTTATGTTTGTATAGATGTTTATGCACCTGTATTCACATGTCTTATTGATTTTTCACCTATGTGTTATAAAAGGAATATATATATATCCCATTGAAAATTTCTCGATTAGTATAAGATTTCAACAGGTCTTGTCAAGATTTTCATATGAGGTCTAGATGGTTTTCTATAGTGAGATACCATTTATCAACTTAAAAACTTATTTACAATATTGAACAGGCGTTTCATTATGGTTGAATACTCTTGAGTTGTTTACATCCCTTATTCCTACTGTATGATTTCAACTCAGTGGTTCAATAGTATTATGTTTATCACAAGATATTGTCTTCAGTTCCATTTTATGTAGTTGCTTATTAATAACAATTTGTATTCACGAACGGAACAGCTGTTCAGGAAGTTAACTAAAATCGCTAAGAAATGAGTAACACATACTACTACATAGAAGATCATAAAGGGAAAAGCAACATTCTTCAATACAACACAACATTCACCAATCGAATCATAGTTGACGGAGAAAATTTGGAAGATGTAAAAGCCTTTACATATCTGGGCAGCATCATTGATGAACACGGTGGATCTGATGCAGATTTGAAGGCGCGGATCGACAAAGCAAGAGCAGTATATTTACAACTGAAAAACATCTGGAACTCAAAACAATTGTCCATCAACACGAAGGTCAGAATTTTCAATAAAAATGTCAAGATAGTTCTACTGTATGGGGCGGAAACCTGGAGAACTACGAAAGCCGTCATCTAGAAGATACAGGTGTTTATTAACAGTTTGTCTATGCAAAATACTTCGGATCTGTTTGTCAGACACTATCAGCAACAACCTACTATGGGAGGTTACAAACCAGATCCCATTGGAGGAAGAAATCAGGAAGAGGCACTGGAAGTGGATAGGATACACATTGAGGGTAGCACCCAACTGCGTCACAAGGCAAGCCCTCACCTTGAGATTTTCAAGATCAAAGAACACATTACGCCGAGAAATGGAGATAGACAAACATGAGAAGAATGAACAAAAACTGGATAGAACTAGAAAGGAAGTGCGAGGACAGAGTGGATTGGAGAATGCTAGTCGACGACCTATGCTCCATTGGGAGTAACAGGCATCGAAGTCGAAGAAGACTACATAGAAGATATATTCATAATTCTATTGTGTCACATTCCTGCTTTTCACATTGTTGAATACATTTTATTGCTACTCATATTATCATTATTCACAGTCATTATCACTGAATCCAAGAGTTACTTTTAATCTTTTATATTGATACACGTGTACTGTGTGTGTGTGTGAGTCGCACCAAACCATGCACTATAATGATTCTTTATTAAGTAAAATAACAAACTTGTTTGTCTACTTATGTTCAACAAACTATCACCGTATTCATGTAATGATTGCTTAATCTACGTTTCATTGCACTATGAATTTTGTGTGTTTATTAATGTTGAGCTTAAATTGTCATATTCATATCCATCCATTATCTCACTTGCACCTATATGAATTATGTTTAATATACATATATATATCACCAAAAACACATAACACTTTCATTTCGATTTATACTGAAATTCTTCTTCATTTTTTTCACTTTTTAGATGGGAAGAAAATCTCTGTTGCTAAACGATTACTTCATAATTTTCCACTTAGTAGTTCACCTTCAATACTCCATCAATCATTGTTTATATCACCTCAAAAAGATCATTCATTTAATATTTGTACTACATCATTAACAGATAATATTGATCCAATTCATTATCGTCTTTCACAAACATTTCCATTTGTATTGCCTACATCAAAAATAAGATCATCATCGTTACATTTACCTAGGTTATCATCACATCAACAACAATCTCAACATTATTCTTCTACAAATCTATCTCATTTAGCCTTAGCTGCTCTTGCAGCTGTCCAAGTAACAATTTCTAATAATAATAATGCATATAAACATATTACACATGATGAGAATGTTACTTTTGTTCATCGTCATCATCATTCCCCGGTTTTAATGTCAACATCGAATTTTTCTCATTCACAATCCTCTCCAGTGAACTCTACTTATTTGAATATAAAATTGGCAAATAATTTAGAAGTAATTCGAGAAGTAAGCTTCTTTTTTGAATATTTAATATTTTGCTTAATCTTTTTGTGTATCTCTTTCGAGAAAGTTGAGGTTAGTGTTCTGCTGTTTGATACTCGTAAGCTACTAGTATTTGACCACAGATGCTTTAGAAATATTGCTCGCATCTCTTGGGATCACTGGGTAAGTAGTAGTGAGGTTAGACGCAGGAATGATGGCAAATCAGTTGATGAGGTTGTTAATCTTCATCGACTGAGATTGTTGGGCCACGTGTTACGTATACCTGAATACCGATTACGACGACGCGCAATGCTGACTAGTGTTAGGGACGATTGGAAGAAAGTTGGGGGCTACCAAACCAAAACGTGACATCAGTGCTTGAAGTCACTAACTTGTAGTCTGAGCCATGTTGGTAGATGCAGACTACTTGGTTGGGGTCCGCGTGACTATCGTAACCAATGGTTGGAGACTCTTGGTGATATGGCTCAGAGTCGATCACAATGGCGTCGGTGTCAGTCAGTCAGTCAGTCAGCTACAACGTAGGACCAGGCACATGTATGCATCGGCTCAGGCGTCGGTGTATACACTCCCTGTCTTCCCTTAAACTAAGAGATTAAAATCATATCCTTCTTTCTACGAACCAATTCTTTCTTCTTGTACTATATCTCTATATGCAATCTTCCGCTTATTTATTACCACCTTTGACATAACCACTGCTATGAATCCGGTGTTCATCTTGTTGTGCTGATGCGGTATGGCAACCTGGACCGATGCACATATGTGCCTGGTCCTACGTTGTAGCTGACTGACTGAGCCATGTTGGTAGATGCAGACTACTTGGTTGGGGTCCGCGTGACTATCGTATATATTTGTAAGTAGCTGATGAAAAATCATGAAATATAATGAGATCATATTATTCTGCCTCAATTGTTATTTGGGCTTCATTCAAGTTAATAAATAGGACCAACTGTTATATCTCGTGGCCTTGTGTCCTATTAATTTATGACATAATGATAACGTCGATTAGAGAACAGTGATTTATCGACCGGACCAATGACGCATAAAACCCGTACGAACAGTCTACAGTCCTTATCGGTCCTGCTTCCCGCCTAGCTCTGCTTATTAAGTCCAGAACATCAATCCCAGCCTCTGCGATATGAATCATATATTTCAAACATACTCCGTTTACATACAAACCAAACAGACCATATCGTACCGTAAAATAGAAAATAACATTTGTACAAGATCCAGTGAAAAGTGACTGTGAATGTGGGGGACAGTAATTGATAGACTGGGCATAACTCCAGAATGGATTATCCCGTCGTTTACATTTTCGACTAAAATTTGATCAATTTTGGTTAGTATATATGTATATCCTGTGGATCGCCTTAACATACTCATCTATTTTATAATTAATATGTTTTCATAATTCAAAACTAACCTTAATTCATATTTATCTGTGTCGTCTGAAGAAGTGAGTTATACTAAGTCACGAAACATCAGAAACACATATTTCTACTCATCGGGATATATTTATTATTGACGTTAATTCATAGATTCAGATTAGATATAATTAAATAATGCTAATATTACGCTATGATTATTGTTTCGTATTTTATCTCTAGGGTCCTTTACTATGTTGTACTACCTCTTTAACATCATTTAAAATTGCCAAGTTTCATAATTCATCATCAATCAGTAGTAGTAATACATCATCATCATCACCACCACAATTGTCAACTTCATTTACAGATCATTTCAATATTTCCACGATTCCATTTTGTCAAACTCTTCATAATATGAATCCATCAACTCTGAAATTACAAGTAAATAATAATCAATCACCAATAAAACAACAAAATAAGTTAAATATACAAACAGAAATGAATTATAATCTACATGAAATACATTCACCATCTACTATTACTGCTAATCTTTCATATTCTTATTCACAAACTTCTTTATCTTCCATGATGTCTACTTCGTTATCGTCTTCCTCTTCTTCGTCTAATAATAATAATAATAATAATAATAATAATAATAATAATATCCATGATGGTGAACAATCTACAAACTATAGAAATGAACATTTATCCCCTCAATTAATTTCTACTAATTGTCATTGTAAATATCTAAGAAAATCTTTATTTTCACGTACATTTTATAAAAAATTTAAAAATTATTGGGCTGTACTACTTATTTCATTAAATAATAATAATAATAATGAATATGCTTTTTAGTTTTATTTAAAACTCATACAAAACAATTAATTCCATGGTCGTCTATTTTATCTTCACAATTGAATAAAACAAAAATGTATCAAACTCAACTTCTTTTCAACTCACCGAATTATGTAAGTTTTTTTTTTGTGTGTGTTCTGATTTATTACTTTTAATCGTTATATCACTTGATGAATTGATACTGACACAACAAATTCACATCAGCTAAGAGTGGAGAGAATCAGCTCTCTCTCTCTCTCTGAAATCTCTCACATGGCTACTGTCAGAAAAATTCTACTCACTGACTTCTCGTGGCAAAGATGTTGTTTACGAAATTGAGATGAAAAACGAATGTCTGGTGCTTTAGTCGGGTTGATAGACAGGGAGGATCTACTTAAGCGAGTTGAGAAAACCTGATTCAAAACCAATGGTTCACATAGGCTAGCTCCATTACCCCGAAGGAACAAATGGTGTATGAACCAGTTGTTGGTCACCGACTACCATGGGACTGCATTTCCTGGTATTGCTCTATTGCTTTATGGATTAGACCTCGGAAAATGGCCCCCTAAATAAAACCACGTGCTTCTTTCTGAGCGCTCGAACAATTTGACGGGAAAAAAAACGAAAATAAGTCTGCGATTGATGGTACGATGTACAATATCCCTATTTGCAACTTTGGTTAGATGTCGATTTAGTGGGTATTCACCGTTCAATACTATCAGTGATAACTGCCTGATTTTAAATGTAATTATCTCTCTAGGTCATGACAATTGAAGAAATAGAACTTCAGGAAATGCATTTCAAAGTTATTTTCTATAAAGTACAGGATTTCGATTCAGTTAGCTAGGTTCGTAAAGATTTATATGTGCACAGTTTATTCCACTTGCCATATCACTGCTGTAGTTCAAGTTCAGAATGCCTGTTATTCGTTTACATCATGAACTATCTTACAGCTAGATAATCATTGAAAACAAAGGATTACTGGACAAATGCTTCGTTTCCAGTACAAATTAGCTTGATAACCTCTATTTACAATCGCTCTAGGAAACATAACCAGAGCTTCTAAGTCTCATGACCAGTGCGTTACTGTAAGACTATTGTTAGCTCACAACTTTAGTCAAATTTTCGGCGATGAATCTATCCTAGTATTATCCTTCAACACTAGAATAGTTAGTAACCGAAATTTCATTCCTGTTCTCAATTATGGAGCTTGGAGATAATAGGTGTATATTATGATATCCTTGCTTGTCAGCACCAACCAACAAGATCTGTTAACAACCTGTTATTCGAGCAAAATGAGAAGTATCACGAAAGTGTACGATATACTTTTGTTCTTGACTTTATGGTTAAAGAATATTGTGTAGTAATTTAGCAATGGTCTAAAATACGCGAGTTCTAGGACTTTTTCAATGGAATGGGTTAGGGTACTCTTCCTCTACAAATGACATATAGTGCTTCTTTTGACAATGAAGAAGTTGACTCCTTCGAGACAATCTATTGTCATTCATTGCACAACATACTTAACCATACATTTGGCTTTGTATATCACTTCTTCAAATGCCTTATATCGATTAGCTACCATTAGATTGTATATTTGGGACTCACTAGCTCAAAAATATAATTACGTGAATCTGTATATTTTTTCAACAAGCTGCGTTATATTGTTATGAATTCATTTATAAGATATTAATCAGTATTTATCTGAAGCATCAAATTGTCCATAACACTTATTTACGTAACACAATAGACTGTAATACCTTTAATGTACATCAGAACGGCTCTTAAATTGATAAGTCTTGCAGATTGAACGCTATATTCGGTTCCTAAGCTCTTCTAGTAACCCCCAAGCTAGAACTATACAGCGACCCGAACAGGAGAGAGAAGACGCAAAGTATGCGAGAAGTAATTTACTCCAAGGTTCATTTCAATACAGAAAATACGAGGCTTTTATATTTTAAATGTCATTGGGTTGCTAGAAGATTCTGGGATGCTACTAAACACAGTAGCAGTGTATCAATCAATCAGGACTTCTGCATGTGACGTTTCACTTCCTTGATATTTTTGGCTAAAACTTCAAGTGAACGCTGATTGGATGAAACGCATCTTAGTGTTTTCTGATGCTTGTTTGTCTTTTGCAAGAAATTTCCTGGATCACTCCAACATAAATTATAATAGAAGAGGACTGTTTTTTTTTTACGTTTTATTATTTCATGATTATCATTTGTTTTCAATCAATAATTTATTCTATATAACATTTGATTTCATTTATCTTAGTATTCAGCTAGTCGATGTCAAGTCTTACGTATACAAGATGCATGCTTTGATAATAATAATCACAATAATCAACCTCTATTGAAGGGTCATTGTATTCATCAAACTGTATTAGTTTTAGAAAATTATTCAAATAAAGAAAAAGTGTATCGATTAATGTCTCCAATTGCACAATATTCATGTATACAATCAATGACATGTAAAAATTCAAATAGAAATTCTTCCAAAGTTATTGAACATGCTGATCAATTTGGTGTTGCATTGAATTCCGATATTCAGGTAACTGTTGTCTTTTTTCTGTTCTTCACCAGTTCATTTATATCTACAAACTTTGATATGGCCGCCTGTAGCTCTTCTAAAGTTACTGCCGGTCACAAGCCCGGGTAAAGGAGGTTTGGTCATAGAGTCGGCAACCCCGTCTTGCTAAGAAAAAACGCCAACCAGATTAAACAAATTAAACCATCTAAACTCTGCCCTCAAAGTTGAAGGAAGAATTATGACTCATCAGGATGAAAGCCGAGATTCTTCCAAAGTCACGAGGCCGATGCCTCTTCTAACAACCAGAACAACAACTTTTACAGGTACATGCAACATCCGGACAATGTGGGAGACCGGGAAAACCAGTCAAATAGCAACGGAAATGAGGAGATAAAAATTGGCAGCACTGGGAATCATGACCACTGAATTGGATATTAGAAATTTTCATTTGTGATTGTTAAACCTTAGTAAAAACAATTAATGTATTGGAGTTTCCTGTGGGTAAGGTCCCTTTACGAATGATTGAAGCTTTTTCTAATACGACTCAACGAATAGAATAGACCGTACATCTGATGCACAAAAACGCTTTAACGTTAATAATCCACGCATTAATAATGAGATAGTGAGAATGGGGCTTCTAGGATAACTTTATATATCGTACAGAAGTCAAAAACTGGGAAGGAATAAGTCTGCTTACGTTGAAACATCCAATAATGTTAGAACACATAAAATAGCAAACAAAATATGACAACTATCAATCAAGTAACAGCAAATATTACTATCATGGAGACTAGCATTTCGAAAAATATGTAATATGAGACTAAATAACCTGATCCCTTATTAGCACTTGCCGTGTTACGTTAGCACAAGACAGAATTATTAAGATAAATGGCAGTAATTGAAATAATAGTAGCACCAGTGACTATAAGAAAGATATCATGAATATAGTTGGAGAGGAAAGGTGAAAACGTATCCATGACGAAGTACTAGAAATCAAAAGTGGATCTGTCACTAAGTTATGTCACAAAGGCAATCAATCGTATGAAATTTCTGAACACTTCATTTCAACAGTCAATGATCCCGTGTCTTAGTTTGACCGCTCATGGCTTTTGTGAAGTCTATTCCTATCCAAGCTAGTATTGTGTCGAGGTAAACGGTAGTCAGATAACTATTATTACTACGTGTTATGACTGATGTGACTGCAGGTCTTGATAAGCAGCGTTTATTGATCGATTCGGTGAGAGTGACACGGAAAACACGTAAGGGACGACCTAGTGCCCTGATTGGCCCTGCCCCGCTGTCCGTCCTAGCCCAGTTGAGTGGAGAACAAAAGTCACAGCCTCGGAGATATGAATCATTATATTTCAAACATACTTTGTTTATATACCAATCAAGCATACCACATCGTACCATAAAAATAGTAAACAACATTTACGCAATATGTAACGAATGAATTAAATAATAGCCAATAGGGAATGTACATTTAAAGTCCAAGGACACCACTGGACTTAACATGATAATTATTGGTCTATTCTTCCGCATCCACAACACTACGGCAGTTTGCAATTGAGCAGTGACCAGCACCGTCTTTGGGCTGATCGATTTCTATAGACCAGTCGAAACCCAAATAACTCAGTAGTGCAGTCTCCAACTGTGAACACTGGATAATGCGGATCTGTACTCTAAAAGAATCATAAACTCCCTCAAGATTACTGACGAGTGCCAAATAGCCCGAAACCTAGGGCCAAGTCATCCTGGCAATCAATGTTACTCACCTAATGCTCTAAAACAATGTTATAACAGTTTTATGAACATTAACTTACCAGACATTGAATATAAAGTTAGAGTGGTGTTTCAAACTTCCTGTTATTGTATCATGTTGCACACTCTTATTTATCAAAGTAATAAAACACAACAAATAAATTTGAACAGAATTCAATATATGACCAGTCAGATAATCTTTTACAATTACTAACTACTTAAGAAGAAGCATCTAAAATATTCTGACTAGTTATTGACTATCTTGGAGAGTTTCTTAAGTTCTAGCGGAAATCTGTGACGTATGTAGCGTTTATCAAGCTATCAGTGAGTGGTGATACGTTTTATTTATCAATGATGGCCATGATATTTTCAAGAGTTAGCTGAAGTCAGGAATGTGTACCATAGAATATCGACTCAGCTTCTTCAAAGATACATTGCATTCGCCAACAGATTTAAAGATCCCTGTTTCAAACTGAGGTGAAACGGTTATTAATTGTTTCCTGGCTTTTAGTTTTTATCTTGTAATTTACAGTTCTTGATGAAAATGATCTTCAAACCATATCAAATATCTGTGGCGAAACATTGGGCATAATTTAAAAGCTTTGCGTGATTATTTAAATTGCCTCGTCAAACTGGTCGAGAACACACACTAATGTGTTAAATTATACAAATGCACTACTGATGCTATATAAAGAGTGACTATTCAATTTGTATATAAGGTTCTAAATTTGCTTGGTATTGTTTACTTGAATCCTACCATTGATGTTTAACACCGCAACTGGTCAATTTCTTATGGGCATATGTGTATTACCTCGATATTGCCTTAATTCACAAGCATTGGAAGCAAAGATGGATAGTGGCTGGCAGTTGAATCCAGGACGCGCGTTTCGTCCTATTTTGGGACTCGTCAGCTAGGTGTATCTGCATGTCGGGGTTGATGTTCACTCTGGGACTCGAATCCAGTGCCGTTCGCTCCAAACACCGTTGCGTTATCCACTTAGCTACTGAGTCCTGATAGCCACTTGCTTGTGCAATGGAGTGAGAAGATTCAAATAAATCGCGGTACTGGGTTCAAGTCCCAGCGTGAACATCAACTCTGAGATGCAGGTACATCCAGCCGACGAGTCCCAAATGGGGCAAAACGCGCGTTCTGGATTCCACTGCTACCCACTATCCATCTTAGCTTATATAAGATTCTGTTTGGATTCATCTACATTGTAGGTTGAAGGTATCAGCTACATTGGTCACGGTTTGAATGTCATCACTGTTGCCCCCCCCCCTATTTTTCCATGTATATGCAATGTTCATTCACTTATTTTTTTTAAAAACTTTCACGCTAAGTTAAATGAACAGACTAGATTTAGCTGTGAAATCTTTTAACATAACAATATAACAATGTCCATTTAATGCTCTTCTCTATTCTATATTGTCTATTTCATATTATAATAGATTACAAATAATACACATCGTGATCTACTGCCTTCTTGGTCATGGACTACTAAAACGGTGCATCGATTCAGTCAAGTAATTAAACAAAAATTTGGCACTATTTCAAAAATAAATCGAAATAAATATGACTTGTCATCCAACATAACAGCAACAAGAACAACTAACATTCCTCCTACTACTACTACTAATACTACTACAACTACTCCTACCACTCCATCGAATGATTATTTATTACATAAATCATTCCAATGGCTTCTTCCATTACTTACTCTATTTCCATCTACCTCACAACAAGTATCTAAGCATATGTTTCAAACACCATTTCTCAATTTATCCACAATGGAATGATCTCAGGTTTTAAAACATTTTCTCTCTCTCTCTCTCTCTGTCTTTATTCATTTTCAGTTTTTGCTTGTACAAATAAGATTTTTTTTAATATATAAGCACATATGTGTAACAATTGGATAGTTATCATTTCTGTTAATTTACTTTATAATCTCTTATTATAGATTATTTGACTTATGCTATGGCAACTTCAACTGGATGTACATACGTACGTAGATACAAAGTTCTATGTTGTTGCTAACTGACTTACTGATTATTCATCAATATCATGATTATTTTGTTGTCACACACACACACACAAATCAATTGTTGGGCAAAATGTATAATAATAATAATAAGAAGAAGAAGAAAAATGATTACACAAAGAAATGTTTTTTTCTATTTCAATGATTTAAAAATGGAATATTCTTTTTTTTTTATTTTTATGAAATAAATCATTGAATTATTTATTTATTGATATGATGATTATGATTGTATGTTGGTTTTAATGAAAAAATCACTTTTTGATGGTCTAAATGCACCGGACATTGATGTGATCGAATCGAAATTGACACGTTCACGTATTTGTATTGATTTAATATTCTCTTCATGATTATTAATTAAGATAAGTTGATGATGATGATGATGATCAGTGATTTCGGACCATTCAAATTGTTTAATAAATTGTTTTAAATCATTCTCTGACATATCCAAAAAGCTCATTAATAAGGGTTTTGATATACGTTGATATGTTTGAGATATAATTTGGACAATAACTATATATGTATGTAGAGACAGAGAGACATAGAGATGAAAAGACCATGGAAATTATTTAAAGGAGAGAAATATATATATATATACATATATGCAACTCTAAATATCCAACGAATGAATGGTGTATGAACCAACTGTTGGTTACTGGCTACCATAGGACTGCATCTCAGACGAGCCTTCCAAATGTCCCGATACATCCGAGAACGGGGAAAGTTAGCTCTCTCTCTCTTGAGAAATGCTCTCACATGCATACAACCACTACCCCAGATGTCCTACTCACTTCCTTTTCGCACCACGGGTTTTCATTTTATTTAAACACATAAACATTAGTACAAGGAGGCGCCAAATAGATATGCGCTACATAAATCATTCGATTTGTGTGAGGGCTCGGATACTGCCCGGGTGACCAGACCGATGCAGATGGTCTCTTAGGGGGCCACACCCCGAGTCTTTGACCTTAAGGTCTGACCCACAAGGCAGTGGAGCATCGTGAGGAGATGCAGTCCCATGGTAGCCGGTGACCAACAATTGGTCCATGCGCCATTTGTTCCTTCAGGATACTGGAGCCCATGTGCACCGTTGGTTTCGAATCCGGTCAAAGCGCCGGACAATCGCTTTTCGTCCTCCCATTTTCGTAAACAACACCCCCGCCACGAGAAGGCAGTGAGTAGGACTTCTCTGACAGAGGCTACCATGGAACTGCATCTCCTGACGTTTCTCCACTGCCTTGGGAATCGGACCTTTAGGTTGAAGGCTCCGAGTGTCCTTCTAGGAAAACCACCTGCTTCGATCTGGGCGCCCAGGCAGTATCACAAATAAAGTGACCTGTGTGGCGCATATGTATTCGGTGTCCTCTGTACTAATATTTGTGTTCAAATAAATAAATGACTAAGGAGCTAAGCTATTGAAATTATGAACTAGACTAATGGACATGTTGCGTAATAATAGGCCCTCAACCATGATTGGTTTGCAAAAATTTATAATGCGACTACGTTGCAGGTTCAACCTTGCTTCACCTACTTTGGTTTGGATGGAACCATTAGTCTTTAAATGCAAAATGTGGCTTACAGTTGAGTATACGAATCTGTGCTTGACAAGTGAATTATATCACCGGATTGTATAAAATGTGGTATGTGTTCCAGATGGAACCTTATTAATCCATTGAAAAATAATTAGAGGGGTTTTGGTTTTAAAATTTACCTTACTGAAATGTATAATAGATAGTCACTGATCTTATCTCACATAGACTGATAAGGAGTAGATGAAGGTTATGCGCTCTGAAATACTATACGTTATTTGTTAATCATGCAGCCATTACTCTAATCGAAAAAAGTGCGTCAAATCCAACTACTGGTTTCTTCAAACTCAAATGAGTTTTAGAATGCGTTACAGTTCAGGAGTTTTTAGATAGTTTCCCATCGATAGGCGACCACAGTTATTTGGTAGCTAACATCACGTTTCTAACGAAGATTATTATTATGGCCACACTGAATGCATAGTGATAAGTCAATCCTTAATTTTTACCGAAAACTACATCACCGAACAAGTGAACGATTTGAGTGGAATTTGAACTGATAATATCCAGTCACTTCCTGAACAATTGTGTAAAGAGAGTCTGTGCATTTCAAATTTGTTTATTTCCTAACTGTTGCTATCATATGTTGGTAGTCAGACCTGTCTGTCGTGATGACACACTCGAACTACAATGACAGCGAAACTTGTTCTTTTGGGTTTTACTATGCTAGATAGATTAGTTGGAAAACAGTGAGATATCCCCTTCCGACAGTCATGCAGTCTCCCCGCAATGTAACATAACACTACACTACCCCACAAGTTCACGTCGTCAGTAGTAAGGTCCTAAAAGTATAGAGGTAACATTAAAAAGTACTCTCAAAAAGACCATGCGTAAACAACAGCGAACATGTGTCCCGTGGGCTGCGCATTTGCACTCTCAAATTAACAAAATCACTAATAAATCACTTTCCTTCCCATGAAGTATGCCTCAACAGTGCGTGCGACCGAGAAGTGATGACCAACCACACATCTTAACCAGAACACAAGATTACCTTGTTCAAGATCGAATCGCACGTCCACTTCCTTATAATTATCTACCCCTCTACAGTTTTATCACCATGCCTCATCAAAGCCGACGACTGAACTTCAGGAAGTGTCATTTTTGGTCTTCGGAAACTACACTTAAAACTACATGGTGAACCTTTTAAGTTTCAAAGTTTGATTCAGATCAGAAAATAGGGTTCAAATTAAGTATGAATTGTGGAAAGAATCTCAAAAGTGTATTAATGAGTTCCTGACGCATTTTTTAATATATCGTATACCTGTAGTGAAGGAGTTTTCCTCTGACCAACTACCTAACTTACAACGGCTTTTATTTAGCCACAGTAAAATCTCACCCCTTCAACATGACGATTTTGACTAGCCTGCCTGTACAGCACTTGACTATGTATCTGGTAATTCATCTTTTTAGTAATCTTTGGAGAAATACACTGTTTAACATGGGCATAGAAGAACCTAAAGAGACGTGTTCCAGCCAATATTCACAAAGGCAATCAAAAGAAAACTACACCAAAGTAGCAGCTATGGTTGCCAAACTTAGTCTGAACACAAATGCTTAAATCACTAGCTTACCACTCTTCTACAGTGGATGAGTGAATTATGATTACCCAAACAAGAACACAGCACAATATCAATTTGATGAACATATTATTTGTCAGAGAACAACTAAAATACTCAATCAGCAGTGCTTCAGGACTGGTCGGCATCAACACCTGAACTAAGGATAGAGAGTGAAATAGTTGAACGCGTTGACAACTTCATTTATTTGGAAGTTTGATCAGCCCTAACGGGTTGGTGTCTGACGAAATCTATACAAGGATTCGAAAAGCTTGTTTGGCTTTTGTTTCAACTATAGCAAGGGTGAGATAACCGTCTATAGATTAAGGGATGAGTATACTGTACAGCAGTTCGTTCTGTTCTAATTTACGACTGTGAAACGTGGCTAATAACGGTAGACGATACTCGTAAGTTACTAGTATTTGATCACAGATGTCTTAGAAATATTGCTCGTATCTGTTAGGATCACTGAGTAAGTAATGGTGAAACTAGACGCAGGCCACGATGATAAATCAGCTGATGAGGTTGTGAATCTTCATCGACTGAGAGGGTTGGGCAACGTGTTACATATACCTGAACACTGGTTACCACGGCGTGCAATGCTGACTAGTGTTGGAGCCGTTTGGAAGAAAGTTGGGGGCTACCAAACCAAAACGTGGCATCAGTCCTTGAAGTCACTAACCTCTGGTATGAGTCATGTTGGTAAATGAAGATTACTTGATTGAGGTCCACACGACTGTCTTGACCAATGGTTGGAGACTCTGAGTGACATAACTGAGAATCGATCACAATGGCATTGGTGTATACACTCTTGTCTTCCCTTTAAACTATGAGATTAAAATTGTTTTATACCTTTCTTTCTACCAACGAATTCTTTCTCTCTGCAGTATATTCTTATATGAAATCTTCCGTCTATATATTACTATTGAAGTGGCTACTCCTATGAATTTAGGGCTAATGAAGTGTGGCAAATTGGATCGATGCATATGTGCCTGGTCGTACGTTGTAGTTGACTGACTGACTGGTGACAGATATCTACAAGTTGTAATTATTGAGTACACCGCTGTAGTTTACTTTAGATCACAGCAACATATTTCGGAAAATTTCGTTAAACCACTAAGACTTATGGGCACAACCTAGTTTTTTAAAAATATTCTTAAACAATGATCATAAAGCAAGTTATAGACACAGTAAATGAATGGATTCAAATGCACGAAACTGTTCCTATGAAAACCAGGTTACACATAAAAAATTAAGTATATAAAATTCTGGAGAAGGCAGTACTTACATCTACATACAGATTCACGGAATCCAGGGATAGCAGAAAAAGCTTTGGGGTTTTCTTTAACTTTCGTCTATACACTAAGTAAAACAATGAAACTGAACAAACCCAAAACTCAGAAAACCGACAGGTTTCCAGGAGAAACCCAAGCTCCACAACCTGTGAAAGTGGCTCTTCACTGAGCTAACTTTAATAATGTATATCAACTACTTACATGTTCTAGGCGAATCAAGTACTTGCACAATGTAAAATCTGAGTGACTCATGCTTATAATTGCCTTCAGCAGCACTAACCTCGCACACTCAGCGTTGAAACGTTCCGGATAGAACTGATATCTATGTAAGAAGAGCTAATCACAAAGACTTGTTAAATACAATCTAAGCAGAGCTAAATTAGCTTCGAAATCATAATCATTATTTATGATCTGCCATGAAAGATGTTCTTCAAGTGCTGTTATGTGTTCAGGGTTATAGCTAATGTCTTTTAAAATACATACAGGTTAATACCTCTCTATTCCTTGTAGTTTGCTTTTGATGACCGTCTTACGATCCATAACGTGAAACACTTCAAGGAACGCGCCTGTAAACGCTCCGCCTACTGTGGGTCTGTTCCTTTTTGAGATTTTATATATCATTGCCTTATTCTAATTTTTTATACACTGTCATTTTTTCCGTGTTTTTGACAAATATATTTTCTCACTCGTTCATTCTCGTACTCCGATACTTCACCATGACTGAACAGACACCCAAAGTACTTGAGTTCTAACTAATGCCCTTCTGGCCAGACAACATCGAAGCCTGGTTCTGCTACACAGAAATCAACTTCTACGAGCATGGTGTGAGCGACACACGTGCACAATTCCTCGCAGTAGTCAAGGCAATACCGCGCGAACTCAACAGGTACGTAACACCTAGCGTGTTTACTAGTGATGCTTCGGAACCCTACGAGACACTGAAACAATCTATCCTTAGACGCAGGGACCTAACTGATCGACAAAGGTTAGATCAACTCTTTAATAACATAGACCTGCAGCACGGTCCTGCGACGGACATGTTGCAAAGAATGAGAGAGGTTATAGGCCCAAGAACTTTCGACGACGGCCTATTCAAACAACTTTTCTTGTCTAGACTTTCCCAACAGGTGCAAGCGGTTCTGGTCTCGTTTCAGAACAACGCCTTAGACGAGCTGGCTGCATCAGCCGATCGTATCTTATAAATTACGAAATCTTCTAATGCCGATGTTTTTTCAGTCAAAGAAAAGCTTCAAACGGCCCAGAATGATATTACAGAATTACGTCGTACACTTACACGTTAACTTGAATGTCGTAACCACCGTAAACGTTCACACACACCACGAAGAAGCACTTCACGTAGGTGATTTGTTTCTAGACTACGAGAGACGGATAACTCCGAATGGCGCTGGTATCATAACCAGTATGGGAAATCCTCCAGAAATTGCAGAAAACCCTGCCATTTTTCCAACTCAGAATCGACCGGCACTAAAAACAGATCGGAAAACTTCCAAGCCGGTATGCGTTAAAGGCAACCGTAGCCGGCGAACATAGCCGTCTGTTATACGTCACAGATGTGACAACGAAAGTTCACTACCTTGTCGACACTGGCGCATAAGTTAGCGTTCTCCCAACGAATTCCAACTACCGGTTTCACGAATCGGCTTTAAACTTACAGGCGGCAAACGGAAAGCCTATCGCTACGTATGGCAAAAGGTACGTTTACCCTAAAATGGGTTTACGCAAGCCTACTCCAACCATTAGTATAGACCTCCTACAACACCATGATGTAATCGTTGATACGCGCAAACGGAGGCTATAGCCTCTGTCTACTATAGTAGACAGAAACGCTAATTTATCTGTTTGCGTAAATTTTTTATCCGGTCGCAGATTATCCCCAGTCACAATTAAGTATACGATAGACCTATTCTAACAACCACTACTCGATAAGTATTCTGGAATATGCCAAACGCAACCTAAAATACCGTGTGTAACCAGCAACGTTACACATCACATCACGACTACAGGACCACCTGTATTCTCGAAAGCACGACGACTAGCCCCTGAAAAGCTAAGGTTGGCGATAAACGAGTTCTACCACATGATAGACTTAGGAATCATGCGACCGTCAAACAGTCCATGGGCATCTCCGTTGCACATGGTCCCTAAAAAGGACAGCAACGATTGGCGTCCAGCTGGTGACTATCGGCGACTGAATGCTAAAACCATTCCCGATCGTTACCCGTTGCCTCACATTCACGATTTGACAGCTACCGTGAATGGTACAACTGTCTTTTCGAAAATCGGCATGGTCAAAGCGTATAACCAATCCATATAGCTACTGACGATATACCGAAAACAGCTATCATAACTTATTTCGGACTCTACAAGTTTTTGCGAATGCCCCTAGGTCTAAGAAACGCTGCACAAACCTTCCAAAGGTTCACAGACGACGTTTTTCGAGGTCTCAACTTCGTACATGTGTATGTTGACGACTGTCTAATCGCAGGTCCGGACAGAGAATCGCATCTCAAGCATCTGGATCTTGTTTCGACCGACTACAAAAACATGGCATCACTATAAACATTCAGAAATGTCAAATTGGAACTGACTCATTAGACTTCCTAGGACACACTATATATGCTCAAGGCATTCGACCCCTTAGGACCAAAGTGGCGTCAATTCTGAATTACCGAGAACCGCCCACCATCAAACAACTACACACATTTAACAGCCTTGTAAGTTTCTATAGACTGTTCGCACCGAAATCCGTGTCACTTATCAAACCGCTAGCGGACCGACTTCATGGAAATGCTAAATCCATCAGTCTGGAGGACACCGCGCGAAAAGCATTCTTCACAATTAAGGAACTTATCGCTCAAGCAACTCAAGCACCCATTACCATCGTATTGGACGAATCCGGCTCAGCAATCGGAGGAGTCTTACAACAATGGGTTAACCCCTCCAGGCAACCTTTGGCATTTTCCTCTAGACGGTTGCTAGACACTGAATCGTGGTACAGCACTGTTATGATTTTATGTCCGACTTTTTATTACGTGATTTATCCGCCAATCAAAATACGAGTTATACAAATATTTGCACTGTGCCAAAGCAATGACGTTCGGCCGGTATGAGCAGCCTATCGTCCTTATTGGTCCTTTGTCCTCCTAGCCCGTCCGCTTGAGTCCAGAAAACATTACCAGCTTCAGACATTCGACACATTTCCGAAGCAAACAATGTAGTCGCAGACGCCTTGTCTCGTATGACGTCCTTGAACAGTTTCCAAGGAATTGGCCCTCTCAAACTCGCCCAGCTTCAAAAAGAAGACATTGATCTTCAACAAGAGTTACCCTCAACAACCCTTAGGCTGAGCAATAATCAGATAGGAACAGATAACGAAACCTTACCTTGTGACACATCCACAGGTAGACACAGCCCAGTCGTGCCTAAACATTACCGACGCAACGTCTTCAATATGTTGCAAAAACTTTCTCATCCAGGTGTTCATGCAACCATCAAACTGATAGCACAACGATTTTGCTGGCCTGGTATGGATAAAGACGTGAAGGAGTGAGCACGCTCTTGTGTAAGCTGCCAAAAATCTAGGGTTATTATACACAACAAATGTCCCTTCGGCTCTTTCAAAAGTTCCGACGCTTGTTTCGACCATGTTCATCTGGATTTGGTAGGATCTTCACCAGATTCAAATGGATACTCTTATCACTCAACCTACGTAGACCGTTTCACTATATGGCCAGAAGCAGTACCTATCAAGGACATCCCTGATGAAACAGTGGCCCGCGCCTTCGTCGAACGATGGGTAGCAAACTTCGGCTGCCCTTCAACCATCAATACAGACCGCGGACGTCAGTTTGAATCTGAACTTTTCTGTCGTTTGACCCCACTTTTAGGAATCACTCGCTTCCGAACGACCACCTGCCACCCACAAGCAAACGGGTTGGTAGAACGCTTTCACCGACAACCAAGAGCTTCACTATCAGCTGCAAACGTTTCTCAGTGAGCTGACGGTCTTCCACTCGTGTTACTAGGTATTCGCAACGCAGTGAAAGCTGACATTTGATAAACAGTGGCTCAACTCGTTCATGGAATGACACTTCGACTTCCAAGAGAATTCGTGGGTCCTTCATCTTCTTCAATGAACATGGATCTAACCTTCTACACGAACAGGCTTACAAACGCACTGCGTTCAGTTAAACCTGTTTCCACTCGACCGCAATCAACTGATGTTTTGGTTCAACCTGACTTACGACATAGCACACATGTTTTCGTTCGTCGAGACTCACACCGACGACCTCTCGAATCAGCATACGAAGGACCCTTCAAAGTTGTTCAACGCGTGCCCAAGTATTATATAATCGATAAGAACGGAACAAACGATAGCATCAGCATCGATCGTCTCAAAGCAGCGTATTTTAGAAGGAAATCCTATTCGCGTTGATTTTCCTTCGGTACAATTGAACGACACGGCTCCTATATTTATGATACCTCATTCGACAGCCAACACGCACGATGATACTTTGGCAGTATCAGAAAATAAACTCATAACTACGCGTTCTGGAAGAAGAGTAAGATTTCCAGAACACTGAAACGAGTATTGCACGTTAGATACTAGTTGACATTTTATATCATCTCGATTTTTCTTTGCACCAAATGTAATATAAAAAAAACAATTTTAATAAGCTTTGATATTTCTACTTCATTAAAAAAACCATATTATGAAATTCTTTTTTAGCGCTAATACGTATGCATGAGTTTATTTCCCTTTTTCGGATCCCACACCAGACCACGAGTTGGAACACCGTGTTCATCATCCCCTGCAATCGCTGGCCAGATTAGATCAGACGATCCTCAATATACTGAGAGCATATCGAACCCCCTCGCTTCTGTCTTTTGATTTCAATTGGTGTGTACGATTCATTTTAGGTGTTACTGGTTAAAGCGTTGTCAAAATCCAAATACCTGTGGCATTTTCAGTACTATATGACAACATATATTTCTGACGTCTTTACTAGCCGTTCGTATACTGAACAACCTGCGACTTGTAAGTTAATTGGCGGTCAAGTAACCCGAGCTTGCACATGGGTCCTCTGTCTAAGTAGTCGAGCGAACCTCCTGCATGCTGATCCCGGCATGGTCACAACTACATCAACACTAACAGGGGTTAGCAACTATCATAAACATAAGTTTGGAGTCATACTTCCGGTAGTAGGAACCTATGTTCTCTACATGCAAGTAATGTACATTCATCGTATATGTACTCAGCGATTTCCATTTTCTACTTTTTTAACGACAATCTAAACTGAACTTCAGCCATTTTTCGCTAAATTGACGACCCTTGACTTAATGTCTATGCATGCATCAAAGATTCGACGTGCATTACTAGGCGATTAGTAACATCGTGTTCATCTTATCTGTTTGTCCACATGTATAAGTGCACCCTAAAGTGTTCGTTGCCTGTAAACATTACTTGTTTACTGAAATTAATACTTTGTTCCTGTCGCACTGTTTATTAGAGCTATTCT